CCAGAAAGCATTTGTTTAACAAGAAGCAAGGCTATACAGATTTTCTTTCTGCTATTGGACATACGTTAGCAACAGAAATGTACTTTGCCTTTTTATAGTACCCCTTACCACTTTTCGTAAGGATGAATCTCACTAGTTTCCATACCCTTGCAACCTGAGCAACTCATTGCTACAGCACATCTTACACAGACCTCACTGGGAGATGCCACACAAAAGCTTAAGGTGGTGTGACATGCAGCTACCTGTCTGCTTGAGGAATTAGCTTTAGAAAAAACATGTTGTTGCCAGTTCTTGGCTGACAACATCACTTTCTTGAGAGAAATCAAGGTGTTGACTTTGATCTGTAAGGCTCTGAGTCTCATCTATTTGAGAAAGCATTTTCCTCTTGATGTAACGCTGCTGAAACTGAGAGCAACTGCAGAGCTTCAGCAACCCATGTTCAGACACAGATATCGTAAGACATTCTAGGCGAAGAGTGCTCCATCCTAAATCACAATTTTACCTATGAGCTCACAAAATCCGAATTATTTATCAACAGATAGAGCACAAGGAAATACCCAGCTTTCCCTGTATATTTGCCTTAACAACAGGGTAAGTCCATGTTACACAAACATGGGAAAGGAAATCTCTTTGTAGATAAGTGTTCAAAAGATATCCTTGGGTTAAATGGTATTTCATGCACTCTGGAGACTTATAACTATGCATTTAATAAACTAAAAATGAGCAAACTAAATGCAAAGTAATCATTTACAACTGCAATTAAATCTTTAAATAGCTTGTCAGTAGATACAGTTAAGCTAGTACTCTCCCTCTGCCTCCCAATTACAATTAAAAACAGCACATTGCCGTAGTTAATCTTCAATAATTTCTTAAAAATTACAAGGAAAGACTTGCCCAAGAAGCTGAAAACTATTAAATGTCAACAAATAAAAGTGCTAGCTATACCAGAGAAACCACATGCACACATATCACTTGTGTCAGCTTATTCTGCTAGTATTCTCCCAGGAACCAACAGGAAACCCTTTGACGAGCCCAAACATACCTCACAAGATTCCCTCTTTGCTGCTAAATGACTGCTGTTATTGCATTGAAGAATGACAAAGCATCTGCCTGGCAATGAAGAGTGTGCCTATCTTTCATTGAACAAAAAATTGAATACCCCAATCAATTATGAGAGGAAAATAAGTGGCCTCACCAGCTTCCAGAAGCAGCTCTTCTCAAGCAGTTCAGGTATTTCTGTCTTCAGACAAAGATAAAACCATTAAAAAGATAAAGCTGCAAACTAGCCGACATTGCAACAAAGTATGTTTTAACAGCCCCAGGAATTTTAGTCAATACGTGGACAGCAGTTCACTTGAACTGTAGTATGTAACAAGTGTAAGCCATGTATTGTAAGGGGAAAAGGGTCTAATACCGAAATCTCCCAAATTGGAGGCAGTTTTACCGTGCCTCTGAAAACTGCACATTTCATCCAAAATATCACAAAATTTGATTTAAGGTTACCTGTAAACTGTGCCTTTCATAATCCAAACTCAAAAGGCTTGCAAGATTGACTACTTCTGTTTGCTTAGTTCAGTCAGAAAAAAATTTCTCACTGACACCAGGATGTTCTTCAGCAGG